GGCGAAAACCAGTAGAAAAAAAAACAGTAACATAAAATAAAACGAACGGCTATCATGGCGAACAGTTATTGATAGCATTAAAGTTTATATCGTTCGCTTCTTTCTTTTGCAAGATTTATTACCAAGACGGGAATAGATATTTAAATTAAACAATAATTGACAGCACCTGACATGAGCCGAAGGCGTTTGATAGAGGAATATAAGTACATCTCTTGTTTATTGAGTGTAGTTTTAAAAGCACCATCATATTATTTCAACCTATTATTTGAAAATAATTTTTTAATAGAAGGAACATAATGATAGATAGATAGATAGATAGATAGATAGATAGATAGATAGATAGATAGATAGATAGATAGATAGATATGAACATATTTTAAATAAAATGAACAGATAGATAGATAGATAGATAGATAGATAGATAGATAGATAGATAGATAGATATTAATAAACTGAGGTAGCTAGCTAGATAGATAGATAGATATGAACATATTTTAAATAAAATGAACAGGTAGATAGATATTAATAAACTGAGATAGATAGATAGATAGATAGATAGATAGATAGATAGATAGATAGATAAATATTATGTAATATTTTAAATAAAATGAACATAGATAGATAGATAGATGGATAGATGGATAGATAGATAGATATTAATAAACTGAGCTAGCTAGATAGATAGATAGATAGATAGATAGATAGATAGATAGATAGATAGATATGAACATATTTTAAATAAAATGAACAGATAGATAGATATTAATAAACTGAGATAGATAGATAGATATGAACATATTTTAAATAAAATGAACATAGATAGATAGATAGATAGATTTTAGATTAGATATTGTTTATAGATAGATAGAAAATATATTAGATATTAATAAACTGAAATTTTTTAGCTTGTTGAGATTGATAGATAGATAGATAGATAGATAGATAGATAGATAGATATTTTTTTTTTTTTAAATATGAAATATTTTAAATAAAATTTCACAGATAATAGATATTAATAAACTTAGATAGATAGATAGATAGATAGATAGATAGATAGATAGATAGATAGATAGATTTTATTACGCTTTTGTAGATTTCAAGTTCGTTGTTCTAATTCCTCGAAGTACAATGAAGATCATGTAGCATCAGTATCCTAAATGCAGAAGACGGATGAAACGTGAAAATGAACTTTTGAATATTTTTTGTAATTAAATATTTCAGTCGATATACTATTAGACATTTATTTCTGAATTAATTTATTTAAAACAGTGTTTAAATCGCTGAAGATAGTAATCCTGGACATCTTTGTATTACTGTTGTCCAGTGACAAGGTTATTAATGAATTTGCTATAAAACTATAACGGTTTGGATACCAAGAAATCTTTGAATGCAGTTTCTGCATCTTCTTTGCAACGGCATGTCATTTCGTTTAAAAATTCTCAAGATGCATCGTTTCTGCTCGCTAATGAGTACAAGCGTGTCCTCAATGAAGTAAAGTTAATGTTTTCAGATAGAATGAAATAACGTATTGCATCTTACAAGTTTCGTTCTAAAGATTATCGGCGGCTCTACAAGAGTGTGCTGAACTACAGCAAATCATCAATCCCTCCTCTATTTAATGAATTCGAAGTTCTAACATCCTCAGCTGATAAGGATGAATGCTTTGCTCGGAAATTCTCTTCCAACTCAAAACACGACTCATCCTGGGTAGCCACACCTAATTTTCTCCCTAGAACTGAGGTTATACTGAATGAGATTGGTATTTCAGCTTTTCTTATTAATAATGGCATTGTTTCTTTCCGGGTACAGGGGGGGGGAGAAAAGTTCGTAGTCTAACCACAGTCCGTGATGCTAGAGCTATAAAAAAAATTCATGCATTGGGTCTCCATGCTTATTTAAATGAAATCTACATCTCCCTGGTTATAGCACAATTAGATCTTATTTAAATACACATGAAGACCTACAAAATTCCATCTGCAACCTACTCATTGATAATGCAAATATAATAGCCTCATCCACATATACAAAAAGGCCAAAAATAATGGAAACATTATTAAGAAAAAATTAAAAACTGACTCTCAATAACATCAGCTATGAACACGGTCACAATGTTTTGACCGTGTTTGGAAAATAAAAACTTTCCTATAACTCTAGATACATACATAAAACAATTCATACATTCAGTTAAAAGTAAAAATTAAAATCATCCTTGATAATGTCTAAAAGCGCTCGCGCATACAGAACATTCGGACAATTTCTACATAATTTATGTCAAGAAAATTAGAAAATTATAAAAAAAGACTTAAATAAAAACATCTATATTGTCATACACGGACATACCGTTTCGTTGTATTACAACTCTTCAACGTAGTTACATGTCAATTGCTTCAAGCCGTGATCGAAACTCGACCGAATTGGTATCAGTCAGAGAGTCTACCCCTAGGCTATGGTCGCACGGCCGAGAGGAAAGGAAATTTTAACGTTTTCTACGCAAAATAAGCTAGTGGCCCGGAGAGCTCGATTCAATTCGATTGAAGAGTAATGCATTAATAGTGGTATAAGCCACTGTTTTTAATATATATATATATATATATATATATATATATATATATATATATATACATATGTTTCATTAAATATAGACAAGTGCTGTCTATTAATTTTATGTAAATTCTTTTCATATCGTCTGATAAGCTTAATAACATTATCATTAAACGAAGAAAGAAAATCACCATATTGATACATATTTTTTAATCCAATCTAAGCTTTCGGCTTACATAAGCCATTATTAAAGATGACAATTACAGTACAATATATTAAGCAATACATGGACAAGACAGTGATGATAATATGTTTCTGTTTACATGGATGATTTCCAAGCAACGACAAACTTGTGCATATACACACGCTGGAAGCGAAAATCGCACCACAGCTCATGACGTCATACATGACCACGCGAGGGGGAAAACCGGTGTTGAGCTTCAGATTTGTTGGTAATTTCCATGAGTTTATGCGTAATTTCCTCCAGTTGGTCCGGGGTAGTTATATCCTTTAGTTTATTATAGATGTCCTGTTTTTTGCTGTTAAGGGTGTTCAATTTTTCATTGGCTATTTCAATTTGCCTTTTCACAAGGCTACATTTATAATTCCAAGTGTTCATAGTTTTGTAGGCCGCTGGATCATGTAATTTAAATTGTATATATATATATATATAGGCAGAAAATATTTAGCCAAACTATTTTGATTAAAAATTATACTAATAATATTATATAATAAAAATAAATAAAATAACTGCTAAAATAAAATAAATAAATCGCTTTCTTTATGCGTTACATATAGCCGTTACATATGACGTCACACTAGACTATTTCAAACTTCTCTCCCCAAAGAATACCCGGACGCAGACAAAGGAAATCTAACTACAACACATACACCACATCGGTTCTTGATAATGACTGCGAAAGTCGAAAGTACTTGAACAAAAATAACAAAATATGAACTTCGGACAGTTTACCAACGGCTTCGAACATAATACTCAGCAGCTTAGCCGAAAGATGGAGAAATATAAGAAAAAATAAAGACAGACAGACTTTATTGGTTCTTTTTATTTAAACCTGTTTGATGATTGGTTTGATCATGACGAAAGACCCAAACACTTTTCAAAACCGAAATTACACCAACAGAAGATTATGGTGTCTGGTGGTCCGCCATTGACATTACCCATTACAGCTTTCTGGAAATTAATCAGAGAATAACTGTTGAAGTTTACAGCCAGTAACTGGATGAAATGATTATTCAGTTAAACGAAATGCGACCGGGACTGGTTAATCGATGACGTTCGATTGTTGCCAGGATGACACTTAGGAAGCTCACCGATACGTAACTTCGCCATATCCACCATATTCCCCTATCTTCCCGCCCAATGTCTGCCACTTTTTCAAGCATCTTGAGAATTTTTAAACGAAATGACATGCCGTTGCAAAGAAGATGCAGAAACTGCATTCAAAGATTTCTTGGCATCTAAACCGTTATAGTTTTATAGCAAATTCATTAATAACCTTGTTACTCGAAGACAGAAATGAAAAGATGTCCAGGATTACTATCTTCAGCGATTTAAACACTGTTTTAAATAAATTAATTCAGAAATAAATGTATAATTGTATATCGACTGAAATATTTAATTACAAAAAATATTCAAAAGTTCATTTTCACGTTTCATCCGTCTTCTGCATTTAGGATACTGATGCTACATGATCTTCATTAGATAGATAGATAGATAGATAGATAGATAGATAGATAGATAGATAGATTCTTTTTAAGCATTTTACCCCAAGCAAGTTGAAAGTGCCACTAGTACGGAATGGGGGGGTATAGAGAGTGTAAATGAGGGATAAGACTGAGTATAGATGGATTGAGGATAAATAAAAGATAAACGGGGATCAAGGCAAAAGAAGATGGCGATTTACAACAGATAGGAACAAGTTAAGATAGATAGATAGATAGATAGATAGATAGATAGATAGATAGATAGATAGATAGATAGATAGATGGGTTCTCCCCTTTTTTCACAAATGGACTCACCCAGTATATACATATACTACGGCTATGTGAAGACCCGAGAGAGCAAGACCGTCGAGTCAAGTCCAGAGTGACAGAGTAAAAGGTTGTAGGTAACCGGAAGAGTGAGGGGTGAGGTAACAGCGTTGTAGGAGTCACAGTGAGCGAGCACGTAGACTTAGTAAGAAGTCATACAGCGATATTTCAATACTAAATAATGTATAGATATTTTGCTACTAACCCGTATTCCTGGAACTACTAACCTGCTTTACCAGTTTGTATTATTACGTTAATACATTATTTTCATATATTCATTCCTGGCGTCTGTTATTTATTGGTACCGGATTTCAAACCCGGAATTCACAACAAATAGATAGATAGATAGATATATAGATAGATATATAGATATATAATTGCTTAAAATAGATAGATGTTTGATGAGATTAGAGAAAAAATATTAAGAAAGAAAGAAGCTCAGATAGATAGATAGATAGATAGATAGATAAATAGATAGATAATATAAATAGAATTTTTAACAAATCAGAAAAAAGAAAGAAAAAAGAAAGAAAAAAAGAAAGAGGCTCAGATAGATAGATAGATAGATGGGAATGGGCTAAGAAAGAAAGAAAGAAAGAAAGAAAGAAAGAAAGAAAAAGGCTCAACAACGAGCCTCAAAATGGCGACGCATAAGGAAAACTCCAATGTCCTCAATTTTGATACAGTAAGTAGAAAAATCAAAAAGACAGACGACACACTAAAGAAACAAATGTTTCGTGTTTATCCAATTTAAATCATCGGGGAATTTGAACAGAGCACATTTCCTTTTTTGCATTCGTTTTTCTTTCGTCATTTTGGTTATTATTTCATTCGCTTTATTTTGCCCCATTTTCTTTGTTATATTTTTATCCACTTTTACACTTAGTCGAAATATCTTTGTCCTCTTTCGTTTTTACGCTTTCAAGTAGTGCAAGTTTTAATCTTAGTAGACATCTTTATTGTAAGGCTACAAATTTGTCAGACCGTTGGGATTTACCGGTTATCTTTCGATAGCGTTTACGTCCGTTAAAGTACGAAGTCTGACCAGAAAGTAACTAGACATTTTCAATATCACTAGAATCGTTTGTGTGGCTTTGATGCAACCCATCAGAGGAGACTTTACTGTTCATGTGTGAACAAACTCTCTCCCCTGTTGATACTTAGACGGGAGTAAGGAGCCATTGATTGCGTTTGTGTATTGTATGAGATGCGTCAATTTTTGCTTGAAAATTGGACATTCATCCATGCAAGCTATTTGAATAAGACCCTGTTAAATGTTTTGGTACTGACGCTTTAAAATGAAACGGGAATCCATGAAAAAAAGGATTACTTTTATGGAGGCCTCCAACAAGAAGGACACGCAAAAATATTGAACCCATACACAGTGCAAGATGCTAAGAATACCATGGACTGAACATGTGAGTAATGGTGAAGTTTTAAAGAAAATGGAAATAAAAAGCACACTTGTAATTAACATCAGAAAGTGACAGTTGAAATTTTCTCGGGCACATAACGAGAAAAGAAGGCTTGAAAACTTTGAGACTCGTAGGACAGATTGACGGTTTGGTTTGGTTTGGTTTGGTTTGGTTTCTTTTACGGCATATCAACCTCAATGGGTTATTTAATGCCGACAAGATTTTCATTGCCGGTAATTTTCTTTCTTTTTTTTTTTCAAATAAGTATTTCTGGTAATATTATTTTTCAAAAATGTATTGCTGGTATTAAAACCCATTTTTACACCTTCACAATGTTCCGACCCAGGTCCGGGGGCCAACCACCTGCCCATAACTGGGACCCCAATTGGTGTTACGACCCCGGGTCAGGACGGATCTAAGACACCAGCAATCAAGAGGCGTCTCCACGCTCCTCAAAACCTCCCGATCAGAGGCCCTGCTGTCGGCTGCAGTTTATCGTCTTACCCAGGACGCGGATGCAGTTTATCTTCTTACCCAGGACGCGGATATAGTTTATCTTCTTACCCAGGACGCGGATGCAGTTTATCGTCTTACCCAGGACGCGGATGCAATTTATCGTCTTACCCAGGACACGGATGCAATTTATCGTCTTACCCAGGACGCGGATATAGTTTATCTTCTTACCCAGGACGCGGATGAAATTTATCGTCTTACCCAGGACGCGGATGAAATTTATCGTCTTACCCAGGACGCGGATGTAGTTTATCGTCATACTCAGGTCGGACAAATTGGAGGCAAGAAGGACAACGTAGAACAGCGCATAAGGTACCTAACGAGTTTACGTAAATGGATGGAAGAACAGTGTTTAGAAGAGGTAACAAAAAAGATAAAATTTACTACGAAGGACTGGAAAATTGGGGATAACCATGATCATCAACGTCCTGAAGGGACATGGCACATAGAAGAAGAAAATTGTGAGACTTTCATATTCACAGGGAATATACATACATTTTAATATATTCAAATTTGGGCACTAACCCACAGAAACTACTTGGATATGAAAGGGTTTTTTTAAGGGATGATTCAGTATGAGTAAAGTTTAATACCGACAGAATAGTAAATATTTAAGACCCAAGAACCACTCGAGGTAGGGAGTTACAGAGGAAGAGGAAAAAGGTACAATTTATAAGGAGATGTGGAGGAGATAACGGTTAACACCACACTTGAACAGGTAGTAGAGATTGGAGAGCTTCCACATGAGAGTCGGTTCCACAAAATAGTAATTCATTGGAAGACGCTAATATATCACCAACGGAGGAACTTACATCTCATCAACTGATTGCCTACCGTCCGGTTCATACTCCTCCCCAGTCTTTTGAAAGGAGGTAAAGGATTATCCATTCTTTCCTGTTTAAGCTTGGATTTCCGGCTCCTTCTAAAGTAGTTTTTATTCTCCTTCTGTCCCAGTAACCCTCTTGCCTCTTATTGACATTATTGCCATCTTCTGTCTTCCTGAAACCTGTTCTTTTATTGTCCTTTCTCCTCACTAATGTCTTCTCATTCTCTTTCTCTCTTAGTAACCCTTTGTATCTTAGTGGCATTATCGCCATCTTCTGTCTTCCTGAAATCTGTACTTTTATTGTCCTTTCTCCTCACTAGAGTCTTTTCGTTCTCTTTCTCTCCCAGTAACCGCCTGCCTCTTAGTGGCATTATCGCCATCTTCTGTTTTCCTGAAACCTGTACTTTTATTGTCCTTTCTCCTCGCTAATGTCTTCTCATTCTCTTTCTCTCTTAGTAACCCCTTGTATCTTAGTGGCATTATCACCATCTTCTGTCTTCCTGAAACCTCTTCTTTTATTGTCCTTCCTGCTCACTAAAGTCTTCTCATTCTCTTTCACTCCCAGTAACCCCTTGCGTCTTAGTGGCATTATCGCCATTTTCTGTCTTCCTGAAATCTGTTCTTTTATTGTCCTTTGTCCTCAATAAATTCTTCTCATTCTCTTTCACTCGCAGTAACCCCTTGCGTCTTAGTGGCATTATCACCATCTTCTGTCTTCCTGAAATCTGTTCTTTTATTGTCCTTTTCTCCTCACTAAAAAAAAAATTCTTCTTTTCATTTCCAGTAACCCCTTTCGTCTTATTGGCATTATCGCCATCTTCTGTCTTCCTGAAATCTGTACTTTTATTTTCCTTTCTCCGCACTAATGTCTTCTCATTCTCTTTCTCACTCAGTAACCCCTTGCATCTTAGTGGCATTATCGCCATCTTCTGTCTTCCTGAAACCTCTTTTATTATCCTTTCTCCTCACTAAAATCTTTTCGTTCTCTTTCTCTCCCAGTAACCCCTTGAGTCTTAGTGGCATTATACCTTGCTTGAGGTGAATTGATTAAAATAATAATACGAACTGAATGAGGGTGGTTCACTATAATGTCCCTGACATGGTGGATATTAACTGTGAAGGTTAGCACTGGTGGAACTAAGGAATGTTGTTCGTCTGAGCACTTTCTATGGAAATAGCGATTGGGTAAAGAATGGGGAAGGGGTTGTAAGGTGGAAAATAATTCATCACTAACAAGGCCGTGTAGACGTTGATCATTTTACAGTTGAAAATGGCTAGATGTAACCATGACCCTGGGTGGTAGCATCTGTTAGGGTCCCAGCTATGGGCATATAGTGATCCACCAATTTAAAATCAAAAAACTAAGAAAATATAAAAATAATTTTTTATAGTAAAAATACCAGCAATACATTTTTTTTATCAAAAAGATTGCCAATAATAATTTTTTATGCATTTTTCTTCTGACCGAAAAATTGAAAGTTTATTTCATTTGCATTTTCATAGATCTTCATTTTTCGCTTTTCAAACAATGGCTTAAACCATTTTCTCGTTTTTTGGCGGTCATCTGAAGCAAGAAAACTTGAGCTACCTGAGAAAAAGGACTTTCTTTTTATGTGCCGTGTCCTTTCAGGACGTAGACAATCATGGCTCTCCACCTCCCTCTCTCCCTTGCAGCTCTTAACAAGTTCCTTCCCTCTGCTTCCTCCCCCAGACCACGTTCTGTCATCTACTTGCTCAAGCTCCAGGTATGTCATGCGTTGCTTTCCCTTGTCTCTCTTTCCCTCTATTCGACCTGTGAGTATCAGATTCTCCAGGCCCTCCTTCCTCATTATGTGTCCCAGAAACTTCAGCTGTCTCTTCCTGATGTTATGTATCCTCTACCTTGTTTGCATCCTCTCCAAGACCGCATCGTTGCTCACACGTTCGGTTCATGATATCCTCAGCATCCTTCTGTAGAACCACATCTCCGTCGCTTCGAGTCTCTTCTTCATCTTTGAGGAAATCGTTCAACATTCACTGCCGTAAAACGGACAGATGTCACGTAACAGCTCAGTATTCTTTTCTTTTTACCAAAGAAATCCTCCTGTCTCGAAATACTCTGTCCAGCTTTTTGGAATGCGTCCTTGGCCATCCCAATACGTTTATATCTCAACAAATTTCGTCTTCTGTCAAAACGTTTCCCAAATATTTAACTTCCGTGTCTGCTTGATTCTAGTGTTTCCTACCTTCAGATCGCATTTCAGGCTCATCTTTTTACTGATGACTATTTACTCTGTTTTCTTGTAAAACTTTATGTTAGTCCTTTCTTCAAATCTCCCTCTCTACCTTCTGTAGGAGGTTTGAATGGAATTCTTTTCCGTGTCTGCAGATCAGAAAATGTGTCAAAGGCGTATCTTATGATTCAAGGTTATGTACACCAATAGCTAAATTCCTGACTATTGTTTCCAATTATCTCAGAATTTCCTCGTTGGTATAGGTTGAACAGGTCTCTCTACATTGATGAAGACAAATTAGATCACGCCTCTTCCTATTTTTTGTATATTCAATAAATCGTTCCTGTGGTACAAAAAAGCATGCTGTTTACTGCCAGTATAGGTTTTGCACAAAATTCCATGATATCTTTAATAAATAAGTCAAATTTGCTGGCTCATTGAGTTCCAATAAGATCCTTAGAATTGACAACGATGAAGCGCCATGAAAAAGGAAAAATAACCTAATAACCCTTGCATTCTTTTTTAATTTTTTGATGAAGAAAGCAAAACATACCATGTCAAAGTAAAGAAACTATGATAATAGTTCGCACGAATCCGACATTTCTTGAAAGATCACGAATGAAGATCCGTCCATAACTAAATCCCAATTCTTGTGAAAAGAAATTCTGTTCGTATTATGTATAAGGACTTTTTATTACACTGGTCTACAAAAAATATTCTTTGTTCAGAGAAATTCAGATTAATGGTGTATAAAACTTCGTTTCCGGGAGGTTTAACAACATTGAAATATTCTTATACAGCTCCTGTAAGGTTTAATCGTGGATCCTGGGAAACACCATTGGCAAAGGATGTATGATTGAATGTTGACCCCGGACCATCTAGTCGTGAATATAAAAACCTTGATAATGGCAGAGTTTATACTCTGATACCGTTTGAGCTGGCGTTGAATTTTAGGGTTTCGAGAAATGCAGCTCCATTACTTTTTCATTTGTTTGATGTTTTGGAGGATGTTAGATTTAGCATTGATTTGATTTGCGAAATTGTTTTAGCCAAAAAAAATCACGCAACAGCATCCTCTCCCTATATGATGTTTTCCACATCTAAATCTTAAAAAAAATGGTGATTTCCTAATGAACGACGGAAACAAGTTTCGTACGCTGGAAGTTTCTTTCGTAAACACCCATCCACCTGCAGGACTGTTGTTTTCTCCAAATCTTAATCGTTTGGGTTCCCAAACTGTGTTCAAAGCTGGACTATTTATGCATCGCAACCCTCCATGTACAGGGAAATACTACAAAATAGTGGAGTAAACATTTTAGGAGTTTTTTGTCTGGCTTTTTACTGTACCGACGGAAAATTTGCAAATTAATATTCCAGATAAACCGTTTTTATTTTCTTCGCTTAAAGTACCGATCTCATTCTCTGAAATGGGAATAGGAATTCTCGGTTATAACTTTTTTGCCTTTAAAGAACTTTCCCCATTCAACCTATGAGCTTTTTAAAACCGACAAGACAGCATGAAGGAAGTTAATAACTTCTTCTGTAAAGGAAAAAGATTCAATGAAACCCGCATCCATGGCGTCGATCTTGTCACCAAAACTAAAAAATAATTAACATAAATTTTTGGACTCGATGTCAACAAAAAATGTCTGATATCCATTCAAATGCCGCTTCCAAAGAAAATACTTTTGCACTGGTCTCAGTCTAAAGTTCCAATTCTAGACCCAGATGACGAAAGATAAATAGATTCTATAGATAGATAGATTGAAATGGACATAGATAGTTCCATAGAAATTGATCATCCTAGATAGATTCAACATCCGAGTCGGTTACGATTAACATCTCAGGTAAGTCATCCTCTGCAAAAACGACACGGCATTGGAATTTAGAATGATAGATAGATAGATCCTCCTAGATTCTGTTAGAACACCCTCTTCCATCTTCCAACCCGATAGAAAATAACTAGATTTTTAGATAGTGGTCAAAACAATGGCATGTTCTCGATTACGTATTGACAAGGATCTGAGACAAGAAGGACGTAAGAATCATAGGTCCTTATCAGATAGATGATTGATGGACCGATTACTGGATTGTGATCTCTCGTCTCAACTGAGAGAGATAGATACCCGTCCACCTCTTTGGATTCCCCAATGCCTAAAAAGCGCAAACCAAGATGTCACAAACTCAAGGACCCCTGGTCACCCCAAACCTTTGCAATGGAGAAGATGTGCAGTTGTTAAAGCAATTGTTTTATATGTGTTTGTTTGTTGATCTGTGTTTTCCATTTCTCTATTTTTTTAAAAAAGAAAATGAATAAAACGTGTTTAAATCAATTCCCCCCCAAGACTTTGAGAAATTGAAATTAATAACAAGAATATGTATTTTTGTTTTCTCCTGCTTTATTTACAATATTAATTTTCTTTTTTTTTTTTTTTCAGTTTTTTTTTTTTTTTTTTACTTTTTTTTTTTTTTTTTTTTTTTTTTTTTTTTTTCCGTTTTTTTTTTTTTTCTTTTTTTTTTTTTTTCGATGTTTTTTTTTTTTTTTTTTTTTTTTTTCAGTGGTTTGACTTTTGTTTTTCTTTTTTTTTTTTTTTTTTTTTTTTTCTCTTTTTTTCTTCCTTCTTATTATTCTGGTTATGGTTTAAAAAAACTATAGTTCCATGGTGAGAGAACACTCCAATTGATATGGCCTTGTAGGCTTATGTTTAAAATGATTTAATTTCCAAAATCATCTTTTGTTTACAATTGTTTTTTTGTTGGTCGTTATTTCTTCAATTGGGCAACAAGACTTGAGATGGAAAAACTTGACTCTTCCATTCTTGACCCGCGATTCGGACCCAGCATAAGGTTACCCAGCGTGCCATTTGTAGAGAATGATGCGATAGCGCCAATACTATATAACCGATAAGTGTTTTATAAATTAAATGGGACATACTGATAGTGGAAACACCTATTCTATAGTTAATTGATGGTCCTTCACCTATAATAAGTCTCTAGTTGCTCAGGGAGTCTCTCTCTCTTCTTTTTCGACAGATCAAATCTCCTCTATGCCTTCTCTCCCTCTGTTTTCATTCAGGAATTCGTTCAAAATTTGTTTTCGTTTCTTTGTCATGAACCCGTTTATTTCTTTTTCAATGTGTTTGTGTCTATTCCTTTTAAAAAGGCTCTTTCTCCCATTTCTTAAAAGGCTCATTGTGCCACATCCGTTGTTGTGGGTGACTGAATATACGTCAGATAGATAATTGAACGACAGATCGGTTGAACTCTCTGCCTAGATAGATAGATAGATAGATAGATAGATGGATTCTTTTTTTTAAACCGGCCCTAATTTTTTTGCTTTCAATCCCCTATTTTTTCGTCAGTGTGTTTGCCCATAACCCCAACATAAATAACTTTTTGTCCTAATCATTCTAACCTATTTGATGGGGGGAGTTATATCGTCAGTCGCTCAACTCTTGACAGAAAAAAGGGAAAATTGAATGTCTTTCGCTAGATAGAAACCCGTCTCGAGGCTACACGCTTCTCATTCTTTAGGGGCCGGGATAAACCGACCCTGAAAATTTTACTGGTTCACTTGGAATTGTTTTTTGGCCATTCCATTCTTTCTCCTGTTGGTCTTAATTTTTATTAAAAACATGCCTCCAAGACTACTATTTGGTGAGGGCGGAGGATTGGCCGTTGAATCCCGTCAGTTCGGTCAACAAGGTCGGACGACAGTTTCGAATACTAAAGTATCTGTACCACAACTTGATTATCTTCGTTATATCTATTATATCAAAGTTCCTAAACACTTGTACGTCGAACCTATTTTGGGGCATTTATCACAAATACAAGCCTCCACTGTGAAATTAATCCATAACACATACTATTTTAAAATTTCTTTTTAAAGAATAAGGAAAATTTTTTTTTATACTAAGTTAAAAATTTAAAATTGTGAAAAGGGAAAATCCAAATATATCTATCAAAGCCTGGACTCTTTGCCAGTTAACTGCCCTCTTATCCTTCCCTCTGTTTTTGTTTGTTTGGGGTGTTATATGTAATATGAGTAGGTAGTCTCTTTCTACCGCCCGGTCCATACTCCCCCCCCTTCTCTTGAACAATAGTAGAGGCTCACCCTTTGTTTCTTGTTTAGGAAGGGGTTCCTCTCTCTCTCTCTCTCTCTCTCTTCTTCTCTCACCTTCTCTCTGGCCTCCATATTAGTGCAGCTCTGATTCTCCCGTGATCTGTGCAGTCTGTGGCATCACCTCTTCATTCTGAGGGTACACGGTTGACAGTTTTCTGGTTGCTGTTCCCGACTGGTAGTTAGGAGCCCTAACTCTTGCGTAGCGTCTTGAGCGGCCGCTCTGATCAACAGTTGTATAATACCGGGGTGTTTGTAGTGCCATGTCATGCATGGAAAGGTGTCCCTGCAGTCACCTCCGGTGGAACAATCCTAAGGCCACATTATGATGCAGGCTGTGCCAACTCCTCTTTGCCCACGTCACGGTCGATAACCATCTGCTTTTTTACTTCAGGCCTTCTCATTTTCACTACCAAAATTACCAAACATGACAACAAAAACCGAAAAAAGTAAACCTAAACCAGGGCCTCAAAAATCAAAACCTCTCAACAAACCGTTCTCCAACATCCGTGGCATTAGAACAAACTTCTGCGGTATGGAATCATTCCTCACTGCAAACTGCCCGGATATACTGGCTCTGTTTAGACCAACCTTGTCTCGTCTATCCTCCTCGTCTCTCGATCCCAGGCTACCTTTCCTCTCCTTAGAAAAGACTCTCAAACCCACATGCATGGCCTTGGTGTTTACGTCAAGGACCATCTCCCTCTGGCCAGAGAGTTGTCTCTCTCTAATCGCCAGACCATCGTACATGTGTCTCCGTCTATCTCTTCTCAATGCGGTAAACTATCTCTTCTTCCTTTATCGCTCTCCATCCTCCCAAGACTGTGGGATACTCGATAGCATTTCTGACAGCATAGACAAGGCTATCTCTCTTCATCCGTTTGCTCACATATTTCTGTTTGGGGACTTTAACGCCCATCATACCAAGTGGCTTAAAAATGCTACTAACTGACCACGCTGGCATTCAAACCCTTAATTTTTCAGTCTCTCAATCCCTCACGCAGATAGTTAACTTTCCCACTCGTTTTGCCTTCAACCTGGAAGATAAGGCTCTTTCTCGAATCTGTGTTTTTACCTCCATCCCCGAGTCTTGTCGCGCCATGCAACTCTGCCCTCTTGACAACTCTGATCATGCTGTAGTATCTGTTAACATCTCCTTCATCTCCACCCCCAGCAAAGAACCTCCTACCAACAGAACTTCGTTCTGTTATCAACGAGCAGACTGGGACTCGTTCCGTGATTTCCTTCGTGATGTCCCCTGGGATGTTGTCTTTACGCTCCCCGTCCAAGAATGTGCTTCTGAGGTCTCTTCCTGGGTTGAAGCTGGAATCGACGCTTTCATCCCCTCAAGGAAATATAAGGTTAAGTCGCACTCATCCCTTTGGTTCTCTGCTGCTTGCTCAGCTGCCATTGCCCATAGGAAACACTTCTTTCCACCTATATCGTAGCGACATGTCAGACTGCAATAGACGTCTCTTTGTCTCCGCCCGTAACGAGTGTAAGCGTGTCCTCAATGAAGCTAAGTTACTATTTGCTGCTCGAATGAAATAACGTATTGCATCTCGCAAATTTGGCTCCAAAGATTATTGGCGTCTCTGCAAGAACGTATTGAACAACAGCAAACCCTCTAATACCTCCTTTGTTCAACCAGTTTGAAGTCCTGGCCTCCTCTCTGCCAACAAGGCTGAATGCTTTGCTCGGAAATTTTCATTCAACTCAACGCTCAACTCTTCCGGTGTACCCATACCCGATTTCCCCCTAGAACTGAGGCCTTATTGAGAGGGTTAAACATAACCCCGTCGTTGGTATTGGGCATTATCTCCAATTTAAACCCCAATAAGGACTAGTGGTGGAGATGGGATACCAGCCATTGTCCTGAAGAAATGTGCGCCTGAACTGGCGCCCGCCCTCTCCAAATTATATAACTACTGCCTCAATGAATCTTGTTTTCCAGACTGTTTGAAGTCCTCATCTATTTTTCCTGTCTTTAAGAACTCTGGTGACCCCTTCTGACCCTTCTAACTACCGTCCTATCAGTCTCCTACCCTCTTTGGCAAAAAAGTCTTTGAAGCCCTAATCAATACCGAAGTGGCTAATCACCTTACATCCCATGATCTGCTCTCTGACAAGCAATATGGTTTCCGCTTTGCCCAGATCTACAGCTGATGTGCTCACGGCCATAACTGAAATTGTTTACCAAGCACTTCAAAATAACGGGGAAGCTTGTGCCGTGGCTCTAGATATCTCTAAAAATTTGATAGGGTTTGGCATTCCGGCCTCTTTCCTAAGCTCCAGGGTTATGGCATTACGGGTCGATTATTTGACCCAATACAATCATTCCTGTCAAACCGTGAATTGAAGGTCGTTCTCAACTGATTCTCCTCCAGTTCCTATCCCACGAACGCAGGTGTTCCTCAAGGCTCCATCCTAGGCCCCACTCTATTCCTTATCTTCATAAATGACCTTCCTGACGTCATAAATTCCCAAGTTGGCATCTACACGGATGACACCACAATTTATTCCTGCCTCAAAAACAAATCTAGTGTCACTGACAAAACTAACCTGGCCTTGAAAAAAGTCCAATCGGTTGTGAACTGGGGCAGGAATTGGCTGGTCAACTTTAATGCCTCAAAAACAAAACTGCTCTCTATTAATCACCACAGAGATCCTTCCCTGTCCTCCATTAGAATGTCTGACGCTCAACTTCTCGAGAGCACATCTCTGCGGCTGCTCGGTCTCACGGTGACAGCTGACCTGAGATGGAACAAATACATTGAGTCAATTGCTTCGTCCACCACAAGGAAAGTTGGCTCCCTGTGCCGCGCCAGGAAATTTTTCTCCCCGGAATCGATCCTCCAGATCTACAAATCAACAATTCGTCCTTGCATGGAGTATTGCTGCCATATATGGTCTGGTGCCCCTTCTGTTTGCCCTCGGGGTTCTTGATAGGCTCCAGAGGCGGATATGCAATATAATTGGCCCTGTTCTGGCATCTCGTCTACAGTCACTTTCTCACAGACGCGCCGTCGCCTCCCTCTGTCTTTTTACAAATACTTTCATGGCAATTGCTCCGAGGAGCTGCATTCGCTGGTTCCCAGACTTCATGAGTTCAAGCGCCCTACGAGGCTGGCATCCCGCTCTCACCCTTTCACTGTCGAAACTCCTAAATGTAGCCGTCTCTTCTACTCCAATAGCTTCATGTCTCGCACCTCTCGTCTGTGGAACTCCCTTCCCTTCTCCTGTTTCCCTGTGAGCTATAATCTCCAACTATTCAAATATAATGTCAATCGACATCTCCAGTTGCCTTGATCTATCCATTATCCTTCTCCTCATCCTTTCCTCTATCACTCCTATCTGGTCTTGCTCCAAATCTTCTGTAACCCCTTGCGTCCTAGTGGCTTTTCGCCTTGCTTGGTGTGAAACGCTTAAAGATAGATAATGAACAGAATGAAATAGATAGGTAGAAAGATAATGAACAGAATGAGATAGATAGTAATTTTCTAAGCACAGCTCAGATGTAGTACAAGGCCGAGACAGAATGGGGCACCTAGTGAGGATCGAACTCACATTTCAATCGTAAGTGATCTAACAAGACAAGCTTTCTAACCATTACACCACGTTGAAGTTCCCTGGTCTTCCAAGCGTAATTCAGATTTTACAAAAAAAATTTGCTCATTATATAAACCCAGTGACGATCGAACTCAACTTCATTCCTCACATCGTAATTTTAAATAAATTGAAATTTGATTGTTCAACATTACACCTTGAGAGTGTTTTTTTAAAAATAGAAATAAATATCGGATGTATTTTTGTATAGTATCAAGGACACCCAGTGAGGATCGAACAAGATTGTTAACCATTACACCACCTCGAGGTGCCCAAATGAGATAGATAGATAGATAGATAAACAGACTGGGATAGATTTCCTTCTGAATACCTTTCTTTTTTATTCTCATCTCTCAAATTTCTTTCAATTAATTAAATCTTGCTTTTTTTCTCCTCTTTTTTTATATGGCCTTTTGCTTTGTCTTTCTTTCTTGAACAGTTTGTTTTTTCTTTCTTCATCTCGCACATCTCTTTCCATTTTTCTTTCTTTTCTCTGAAATGTCATTCCTTCTTTTCCAGACATTTTCTTAATTTCCTTTCCAGACATGTTTTTTAATTTCCGTTCCAGACATTTTTAATTTCTTTTCCAGACATTTTTTTTAATTTCCTACCCAGACATTCTTATTTCGTTTCGAAACATTTTTAATTTGCAATCCAGACATTTTTAATTTATTTTCCAGACATTTATTTTAATTTCCTTTTCAGACATTATTCATAATTTTCTTTCCAGACATGTTTTTTTTTAATTTTTAATTTCTTTGCCAGATATTTTTTTAATTTCGTTTTCAGACATTTTTCATTTCTTTCCAGACATTTTTAATTTCCTTTCTAGACATTTTTAATTTCCTTTCCAGACATTTTTCATTTCCTGTCCAGTGATTTTTTAATTTCCTTTCCAGACATTTTTTAATTTCCTATGAAGACATTTTTCTTAATTTCGTTTCAAGACAGTTTTTAATTTCCTTAAGAGACATTTTTTTAATTTCCTATACAGATATTTTTCTTAATTTACTTTCCAGGCTTCTTTTTAATTTCCTTTTCCAGACATTTGTAATTTCCTTTCTAGACATTTTTAATTTCCTATCCTTACATTTTTCTTAATTTCCTTTCCAGACTTGTTTTTAATTTCCTTTCCAGACATTTTTTAATTTCCTTTCCAGACATTTTTTTTAATTTCCTTTCCAGAATTTTTTTTTAATTTCCTTTCCAGACATTATTTAATTTCCTTTTTAAGCAATATATCTTTCCGATTTCTTTTACTTTCTCATCATTCCTTCTTGTATTTTCGCCAATGTTTCTTTCATTCTTTCGAATGAACGCATTTTCTACACTTCCTTCCTTTCACAAAGTCTTCGTCTGCTACTGCTTTTTTATACTATTGATCAGCCAATACGAAACCCAAGAGCCACTGCATGATGTTGCTGAAGAGAGGAGGAGGTGATTTTTAAGATAGCTAACGTTTAATACTAGACATGAAGAGGTTAAGACCGCAGTGATCAGGGAACCATTCTCTTGGGAAACTGTTCCAATAATATAAAATATTCTTATTTTTAGAACTGTCCAAATTGAACTTCTTTCTTACAAATGGAATACGGAAGGAATGAGGATGATTCGACTCTGTGTACGTGGCATGATGGGTCGTAGATGTAAAGGTTTAAACTGGTGAAAATAACAAAAATTTGTTCGTTTAATTTATTTAATAAAATTATAATATAGATACCAAGAAATTAGCGACATTAAAATGGGAACTGCGATGAAAAATAATTCATCACCCACATGGCCGCGTAAGAACACTAGATTGAAAAGAATGGATTGGGCAGCTCCAGCCCTGCAGTAATACGATGGAAAATATCTTTTTCTTTCTTGTTCGATAGGGCAAATAGGCAAGATGAATTCAACATTTGTTTTGTTTTTTACGGCTTATCAACCTTTTGCGTGTTACTCAAAGCCCGAAAATATTTTTTAGATTGTAAGAATAATCTGAAGATAATAGCTATTTACTACTAAAATTTCTTTTAATTATATATAGCTGAGGAGAGAAGAGATGTATATATTATTTCTTAAAATATATTGATTTGCGCGGAAATGAATATAAAGAATTTCACTGGAAAACAGAACCCTGGTCACTCTTTTTTTTTTTCGAGCCGTTAACCTTTAAGGATTTCAATTTTTACATCCATGCTTACTACGTTTATGATATTCCTAATTTATTCATTTTACTCGCCCATCTAGATATTGACCAGGTTTGACGTTTTCATTTTTACTTTCCCCATTTGATCAAGAACCAGTGTTTTAACTATGGATATAAATCTCTTTAAAAGGCAGGAGGAATCAACATATTTTTACTTAATTTTTAAAAAAATAAAGCCATTTTCCAGGCTCTTTAGCGATGGATCTTTAGTGAAACTGGGGAAATAGTCGGTCCCTTGTACATTCTTCTTTATCTTCCCCCACTAAAACACCCCTTCCCGTTTAATTGAAACGATATGTTTGGTCATACTAACGAATCAATTTTATGCAATATTTCCTCAATTATCCCGGACACTTTGTGACAACAAGTGGTGCTGGTTAAGACGCTAAACTATATAAACGTCCGCATCATGGGTAAGACGATAAACTACATCCGCGTCCTGGGTAAGACACTAAACTACATCCGCGTCCTGGGTAAGACGATAAACTAAATCCGCGTCCTGGGTAAGACGATAAACTACATCTGCGTCCTGGGTAAGGCGCTAAACTACGTCCGCCTACTGGGTAAGATGCTAAACACAAAAATAACCCGCGTTCTTCTAATAAGAAAGATAAACTAAAAAATAATCCTGGGTAAGACGATAAACTCCATCCACTTCCTGGGTAAGGCGCTAAACTACGTCCGCCTCCTGGGTAAGATGCTAAACTACGTCCGCGTTCTGAGTAAGACGATAAACTACGTCCGCGTCCTGGGTAAGACGCTAAACAACATCAACGTCCTGAGTAAGACGCTAAACTTCATCCGCGTCCTGAGTAAGACGATAAACTACGTCCGTGTCCTGGGTAAGACGCTAAACTACGTCCGCGTTCTGGGTAAGATGCTAAACTACATCCACTTCCTGAGTAAGACGATAAACTACGTCCGTGTCCTGAGTAAGACGCTAAACTACGTCCGCGTCCTGGGTAAGACGATAAACTACATCCGCGTCCTGGGTAAGACGCTAAACTACGTCCGCGTCTTGTGTAAGACGCTAAAACTACATCCAACAGCAAGGCCTCTGATCAGGAGGTTTTGAGGAGCGTGGAACCACTTCTTAATTGCTGATGTTCTCTGGTCCACCCTGACCCAAGGTGGTAGCACCAGTTAGGGTCCCAGCTATGGGCAAATAGTTAACCCCCAAACTGGGGTCAAAGCACTATGAAAGTATAAAAATAGGTTTTAATACTAGCAATACATTTTTGTAAAAAATTATTACCAGCAATGAATTTTGAAGAAAATAATTATTACCACTAATACACTTTTGAAAAAAATAATACCAGCAATAAAAATGTTTTCGGCATTAAATAAGCCATTGAGATTGATATGCCGTAAAACGAATCAAAATTAAACTAAACTGTGACAACGAGTGGAAAGTATTGATTAAAGTGTACTTACGTCATTGATAACTGCGTACTATTGATTAAACTGTGCTTACGTCATTGATAGCTGCGCACTACTCATTAAACTGATAATACTTCACTTAAGCGGCATAAAATAAACTGTTATTCACCGAACGGCATAAAATCCATAAGACCAAGGTACAGTCAACGACGAAATTATTGCTACAGCCATCAGTTTTGAATATTTTTATCCATTTCTCAGAATCTAATGCCCGTATGATGGCAGGTTTTTCATATGTAATTGATGTGTTTCGGATTCACTCTCCGTAAAAACGGATATGAATGAAAAAAATTCAACACACTCATCAAACTATTATGCAAAATGAACATTACTTTCAAAGGTAAAGACATCCTACTATGATTCCTAGAATTGAAGGTAACAATAAAGCAGACTTAGCAGCCAAAAATTAAAATTACTGGTCTGTGTCTATAAATGGGTAATCTCTGTATTATTGAGTATACCCTTTTTCATTATATATATATATATATATATATATATATATATATATATATATATATATATATATATATATATATATAGAATAATTTTAAATGGCGCATCCAATGAATCCGAGGATGCCAGTCTAGGGTTTAAGCTAATCCCATTGCAGACGCCTGCTCAGGCACATTTGTGTTTTTTCAACAACCACAGAGCCCACCTGTGGTTTATACCAGTCTAGTCATTTTCTTTATGACTTCCATGTTACTGGTTATAGAGTGTTGAAGCAGTTCCCATGGATTTTTTTTTAATGTCTAAATTATTTCCATCCTTGTTCTCCAAAGTTCATTGTTCAATTTCTTAAAATATTTAAAACATTTTTAAAAAACAGTTGCACATTTTTTTTCAAATATTTCAAAAAAATAAAACGTAAAAAATCATGGGAGATAATTACGTTTCATTTAATCTAGAGTTATTTCCCTTAAGTTAAAAAATGTTAATAACTATTAGTTGGGTATCAACACTTATGATTGATAATCACAACATCGTGGCCATTTCTGAAATGATTAATTATAATTATGAAATATTAATCTACGCAGATGCATGTCGCATTCTTCCTTGTTATAGTCAACATTTTTCACTAATTATTTCTAGTTTCTTATGGCGATCATGTATTCTGGTCTTAACAAGAATGACCTTTAACTGTTGACAAATGAGGCAAGAAAAGGTTTATTCATTTTAACACCTTCAAAACGCAACTGCTCTGTTTTAATCATCTTATAGAACGTTTTTTGCCTTCCATCAGTATGGCTAATGTTTCCCACTTATATAGCACGGAATGATTACATTGAATCAACTAGCAGTATAACCAACCTTCGCCCGGGTCTTTCATTACTGGGAATTTTTGTCGTTCAGTTGGAGCAGTTTAAGTTTAAAGTCAGCCTACCCGAAAATCAATATTAGTAATAAACAATTGGGTGCAACTGAGGCACATCCGAAAATAACGGGGGTAAAAATTTGAAGTGGGGGGCTGAAAAGGGAACTGTATAATAATAAATAATATTATTGTAATAATTTAATATATTTATTTTAAAGTTTTTATGAAAGATATATATCCAAGAACAGATAGTAAATAGTAAAACAGGAAGTAGTGGAGAGCCATTGTCGCCAACAATTCGGACTCAAAAACTGGCACTGAAGAATTATCTATCAAACAAAAAAAATTTCATCGAAATCGGATGAAAACTGTGGAAACGCATAAACAACATCCGATCACACACA